AAAGTACGTGGTGTATGTCGTTGACGTATTATGGAAATGGCTCACTGCAATATGGCTTCATCTGTACAACGTGTACTATTTCTGATTTTTGCTGGCGAGTTCGTGAGGAACTGTCAGGGACGACCTCATAATTCACGTCACTTAGGCGCTGTACAATATTGTAGGGACCATAGTACTTCTTCAGTAACTTTTCAAAAAAGCCGCGTCGGTGAATAGTGCTCCAGACCCACACTTTCTCGCCTGGTTGATAAGTGACGTATCGGTGTCGCAGGTTATAACGTTACGCTTCGTAACTCTGCTGCCGGGCGATTCGCACGCGTTATAGCTGCTGTGCCTTTTCAGCTCGTTGGGTAAAGTCTTGAACATCCGTGTCTGTATCGTCATAATCGTGCAGCAACATGGCATCTAGCATTGTCGCCACTTCACGGCCATAAAGAAGACTAAATGGCATGCTTCAGGTAGTTTCCTGCTGCGCCGTATTATAGGCAAATGTCACGTATGGTAGAACGTCGTCCCAATTTTTATGATCCACGTCGATGAACATTATGGTCCACTCTTAGAAGGAACACGGCAACGCGTGGCTGGCGGCCCACGTGGTGCAAACTGGCGGCGAGATTTGCAAACACAGCGCATGCGCATAGACGCGAAAGTGTGGGGCTTGCCGCGTTTCATCTGCTACTTTCCACCCCGGCGCTTGCAGTGCGCTGGATACCGCGTTCGCTTTTCTGTGGTGCGATTTATGTCCCCGCCACTCTCCCTGCTGCTCCCCGGGTAATCAGCGCGCAGAAAAAAAAAGTGCCATTCGTTTGTAGTGCTTTCTCGGCAGCTTTGTTGCAATTCCATTCATGGCTACAGCATCCGATTTCAGAATATAGGCGAAATGCGAAATAAAAAACAACCATGTGCAGAAAAAGGTCAAGAAAACGCATGTTTGAAAATACTTCAATGTATCCCACTACGACGGGACACAAAATTATATAATTTTTGTGGATTGCAATACCCAGCAGATGTTAGTTTTAATTCGCGTTACATTTTGTTTTCTTCGTGGAAGCGAAAATGCTAGAAGCTCCTTATTTGGAATATGCGACAGCGTTCACTTTTCCAAAAATCATTTCGTTTCACCAATACGCGCGCTGAAAACTACGGAGTAAACAAGAAAAAATGTATTCCTAAAACCTTTGTGACAGACAGGTCGAGTGAGGTCAGATCTGTAGCCTCGAAACATTACAATAGTGCAAAGGTAATGAAACACATCTCTGCCCTCCGAACAGAAAATAAAATGCAGGTCAGTGTAAGCAAAATAAGACTATGTGTGACAGAACTAGGCACTGCAAAAAATTACATTTGTAATGCTGATGATTACGCCAGTAATGAGAAAGAGGCATTTTCGCGATGGCAGTGACAGCGCGCTGGCTCTATTCTTTGGTGTACAGCTTGACTATTCGAAGCCTTTCGTCCTCATGTACTCTAGCCATGCCGCTTCTCAGAACTAGCTCTGCCGAAAATGGGATCAGCGAGTAAACACGCCCCCAGCTGTGGAATTTTGTGAAAGTGGTAACGAAGCCCATCACTCGCGTAGCCTGGTGTTTGTGCTCACCAAAAATGTAATTGTAAGCTTTCCAAATGCTATTCAAACCAGCCAGCCGCTTTTGATAAGAGACATAGAAATCTATGGTCGATGAAGCGAGCACAGCCAAGCTTGTCGCTAGCGCGTGCCGAGCGCAGGGCGGGGAAGTAGCCGACAACGCGGGCGAGTACCGCCCTTGCGATTCAGCACGCATGCTCCGCATTTCCAAATCTCGCCAGCAGTTTGTGCCCCGTGGACCGCCGGCCACGCGCTCACGTGTTCCCCCTAACAGAGGACCGTACTGTACATACTCAGCATATCTGCAATTGTCTTGTTGAGGCGTTCTGTTAAGCCGTTGGTTTTGTGGGTGGTAGGAAGTAGTTTTTCGATGCGCTGTTCCACTCAGCTCAAGCACTGACTTAAAGAGCATGGCCGTGAAAGCGGTACCTCTGTCCGTTATAATTCTAGGAGCACCATGCCTCAGAACGATATTTTCAATGAAAAATCGTGCCGAGTCTACCGTGGTTCTGCTCGATAAAGAAAAGCCTTTGTTTCTGCGTAGCGAGTAAGATAGTCGGCAGCGACAATTACCAACTTGTTTCCAATGTGCGAAGTCGGAAATGGCCCAAGGGGGTCCATTCCGATTTGTGCAAAAGGCATGGTGGGCACTTGAACTGGTTGCAATGATCCGGCTGGTTCTAAAGATGGCGATTTTCGTCGTTGACAATCGAGGCATGTGCGAATGTAATGCTTTACCGTGCCTGAAAGCTTCGGCCAGTAGTACTTCTGTTGGATTCTGGCCAATGTGCGCGTGTATGCGAGGTGGCCGGAGGTTGGCTTATCGTGGCAAGCACTTAAGATCTCATCGCGAATGGATGTTGGGACAAGTAAGTGGGCACTTCCACTGAAGGAAAAGTTCTTATATAGAACACCACTGCGCAAGCAGAATAACAGCAGGCTCCTTGCAAATATCTTGGGAACGCTTGTAGACTGGCCGTTAAGAAAATTAATAAGAGGAAGGAACTCGCAGTCTTCTTTCTGCTTAGACGAAATGGTGACCGTGTCAACCACTCCTAAAAACGCCATGTCATCCTCTTCTGAGACATCGTCTTGCTTTATAGGTGACCTGGATAAGCAATCAGCATCAGAGTGCTGCCGTCTCGACTTATAGACGACCGTCATATCGAATTCTTGCAGGCGTAAGCTCCAGTGTGCTAGCTGATCAGATGGGTCCTTCAAGTTGGTCAGCCAGCAAAGGGAGAGGTGGTCGCTGAGTACGTGGAAGGGACGGCCGTAGAGGTATGGGCGAAACTTCATAACTGCCCATACTACAGCAAGACATCATTTTTCGTTGTTGAATAATGGGACTCGGCACGGGAAAGCGTCCTACTTGCACTTGCAATCACTCGCTCGGCTGAGTCTTGCCACTGGACGAGTACAGCGCCTAAACCTACGTTGCTGGCATCGGTGTGGATCATAATAGGAGCGTCCTCGTCAAAGTGAGCAAGCACAGGTGGTGTCTGCAGGCGCTGTCGTAGATCGTCAAATGCTGCTTGCTCCTCTTCGCCCCATAAAAATGGAACATCATCTTTCGTATTGCGTGTTAAGGACGACGCTATGCGTGAGAAATTGGCGATAAATCTGCGGTAGTAGGCGCAAAGGCAAGAAAACATATCACAGCCTTCTTATCTTTCGGCACCGGATATTTTCGGACGGCATTGATCTCGTCGGGGTCCGGACAAACACCTTCATGGCTCACCACATGTCCTAAGAATCGGAGTTCCTTGAAACCGAAATGACATTTCTCAGGTTTCAGCGTTAGGCCAGCGGACCTTATTGCTCGAAATACTAATAGCAGCCGTCTTAGATGTTCTGCGAATCTTGCTGAGAAAACAATGACGTCGTCGAGGTATACCAGACATGTCTGCCACTTAAGGCCTGATAGGACGGTATCCATCAGTCTCTGAAATGTTGCTGGGGCTGAGCACAATCTGAAAGGCAAGACTTAAAACTCGTAAAGCCTGTCAGGCATAACAAAAGCAGTAAAGCCCGTCAGCAGATGCTAACGGGCTTACTGCTTTTGCAAAAGAAAAAAGCAGACTTGGGGATGTCAAGGTCAGCAGATGGTTCTGACATGGTGCTAGTCGCTGGGTGCTACTAGAAGATAATTCGGTGGTCAATGTATGGTCAGGGCCTCTTGTGGGGAACTGCGTCGATGATGAGCGACTGATGAAGGGGCTGGCAGGTCTTCATCCTGTTGACTCGTGTGGCATTATGAGTGGCAGACGTGGCCTGGCTCACACGCCATGTTTATTCCTGTTCTCACTTCATCCTTCTCCATCCACCTCTACTACCATGGCTTCATATGTCTCTCTCTCACTCACTCACACACACACACACACACACACACACACACACACACACACACACACACACACACACACACACACACACACACACACACACATGGAAGGTCGCAGGTTCGGATCCTGCCCACAGCAAAATATCTTGGCAAGGTTCCATTTGGCGTTGCATAAGTCTGTTGCCAGACTTTGGGGTGGTTGAATATCTTTTCCCCCACTTTTCTTTCTTCACCTTTACATTACAATTGGCTTAATAACTTTCCTTGGCATTATTGTCTGTTTGATCTCATTATTATTGTGTCTAAACACGAACAAACGAGCCCTTATGGATAAACTTGTTTCCCTTATATATATATATATATATATATATATATATATATATATATATATATATATATATATATATATATATATATACAAACACCCACACCAGCTAATAGAGTGCGGTAGGTCAGCCCCCCACTAAGGCCGCTGTGATAGCTCAGTGGTTAGAGCATCGAACGCGTTATTCGAAGCCCCCCACTCGCGAAAGAGTTGGTACGTCACTGCTTCTACACACAGCCATACTCTTCTATTCCAATTAATGATGCATTTTCCTAACATATTACACAAGCAGAACTGAACTGATGCCTGTAATGCAACCTTCGCGCAATTAGAACAAAATTTTAGAAGCATGAATTCTGAGCACCAGCACAAAATGGCTTACCACCAAGCTGTCAATACGGCCAACGCCACCGTACCCGCTGCCTGTTCCGTAGTCGTACCAGTATGAACTTGTGGAACTAGTGAATGTCCCGCACTGCAGCCAACCGAGAGCGGTGCGGCTATTTCAGCAACACACCGATCACAGGTGGCCAGTTACCAAGCGCTGAACAGCGATGAAAGGGCAACGAGGGCGTTAACCGTGTCAAGCTCCACGTTGGCCCTGTTTCATCATAACACACAGCTTGTTTTGTATGCTAACACAGGTTTTGAAACTTTGAATGATCATAGAACGACAGCGATAGTGCGTATGTAACAAGCACAGGTACAGGGGAAAGGTTTTGCTGCAAGTACAACAATAGGCTTACCCCAAGGTTAGGCTGCTGCAACTCAAGAGCTTGTAACGGTTTTTGTAAAAACGTTGCTCGCAAACAAAGTAGCACTGTTCCCTAAACTATTGTTTTTCTTCCAATGGGTCTACAAAAAAAAAACTAAACCATGGGTAACAATACATAAAATTAGCCGTTGAAATAAGCTTAGTGCAGCTCTGTAATAACTCAAAAGACACAAGCACCCGCAACGCCCGGAAGTGGACTCTCTTTCGTCCGCTCTGGCGTCTAAGCGTGTGTAACGAAAATTCTTTGACCAAACCCAGAAGAAAAAAAACTAAGCTGGCAACCACGTACGTCGCAGTATTTTAAAAAAGTACAACTTTATATTATTATTTGTGTTATATACCTGAATTAATACGTGCAATACATGATTATAAAAAATTTGCTTCTTTCTTTTTGAAAAATATAATAATAGTTTGAAATACAGCGCCGCGTGCTCGCTACAGCAGTTTTGCGCGTAAGGCCTGTTGCCGATAGACTTTCTCTGGGCTCCGTGTTAGCACGAGGAGCTGTGGTAGTTCAACTGCATCGTTTGTTGAAACCAAATGTTGGAGAGTAGCACCTTTAGGTTTACTTAAAACCATGCAAAACGACGATGTAAGTGTGTTATGCTTCTATCTCATAAGTTGTCTTTAGTTGATTACGCGCGCTACATTTACATGTGTGGGCCTTCACGTTGACTGCACGCGCGACTGTGTTTTGCTGTAACCAAATAGCCGATCATCCTTTGTCATAAAGGTGTGTTTTTTGTCGCACGGTTCAACATTTATGAGTAAGAGTGACTTGTCGCCGTTTAGTCGTCTATGTGTTGTTGTGCTGCAATTGTCAACTTGGGTTATAATTACGTGGGTACTCCACGAGGGCATGTTTAACTTGTCATTTACTGCCTGTTATGTAATGCAGCTGGTATATTGTACCTAACGCGCTTTCTACGAGCCTTTGAAAACGCGCTTTCTATGAGCCTTTGTATGTTGGCCGGCGCTTTAGGCACTCGGTGGTACATAAGTGATGGTAAGTCATGAACGTAGTGAATTATCAGTGGTGCTGAAACTGACTTGCGCTAACGTTTAGCCCGCGTGGAACTGTTATTAACGTATTATTGTTGTTCAAGGTTATATGGAGCATCATCAAAGGAAGTTTCTGCTCCTTTAAAGTCAAGTAAGCTGCTTTCTTTTTTCGTTATACGAACCTAGGTTTGTGCCGCGTCGCATGTGAGCTTGCTGATTGCTGTTTGTGCGCCTTTGCAGCACCAAGGGCCAGCAATTCTGCCGGAACGATTTCAACTTAACGGGCCTCTGCAATCGCTCGTCATGTCCTCTAGCCAATTCTGTCTACGCAACCATCAAGGAGGAAGACGGTGTCTGTTACTTGTACATGAAGACCATCGAAAGGGCTGCCTTTCCTGACCGGCTGTGGGAGAAAGTGAAGCTGTCTAAGAACTTTGAGAAAGCACTGGAGCAAATCAACCAACATTTGGTCTACTGGCCGAGATTTGTGCGCCAGAAATGCAAGCAGCGTTTGTTGAAGATCACTCAGTACATCATACGCATGCGCAAGCTGCGCTTGTCTCGACAGTAAGTCGCGTGCACCAAGTTTCTCTACGTACTCACGTGTACTATTTAATATAACCACAACATATCAACTATGTTGGGTTAATGGATGAACATCGGTGTATGTAGCTTGAGCATAGCATTTTGATAGCTGATCTCAGAAATATTTATTGCACTAGGAAGGTTGTATTACAACACTGGTACTAATAGGGTGCCCATTTTAAGTATGGTCAGGCTCTTAAACATGTACCTGGTGACAGTAAAGCTCAGGAGTATCTTCTAGCGGCTATTTTGTTACTTTTGAGGTAATTATTGTAACTGTCCTGGTAAATACCGTAGTAGATGACTGTGATAAATGTTTTGAAATTTGGAAGAACAGAAAATGCATGATGGAGGTCTCTCTGAAAGCAAGGTGATGAAAGGATGTCGGTGAATTTAAAAGAGTAATGAACAAAACATTAATGTAAAACACACTGTTGTGCCTCCTCCCTGTACACTGCTCATGTTCTTCAATTCTGGTGACAGCATTGTGTAGTCTGCATGGCGTTCAGGGGTGTGGTTGTTTCCACGGCCAGTGTTGAACTGCCCTTGGAAGCAATAACATAACTGATTTCACGATGGTACGCTACAACTATGAAATTGTAGGAACATTGGTTATCGCTGCCCAGATACATCTAAGCACCTGAAGCCACAGTCATGTGCATTGCACTTAAGTTGAAAACTTCCAGTTTGGGCACTTTTGTTTTTATTTGAACATGACTCATTCTTCAGAAAGAGTGTATGCCTAGGCATGTTGGTAATACATGTTCAGTTTTATAACACACAATAAGAATGATGACTGAGAGGAACATCACGGTGGTAGCGCATCGTTCAGGAGTTACGCCATATTGCATGCGTTGATTGATGTGCATCTTTGCAACCAAAAATGTGAAACTTAAATGTTCTGTGTATTTAGATAGAATGGTACATGTTAGCTGGATATATAAAAAAATTAGCTCAAAAATTTAGCAAATTAAATGCACTTGTTGGAAATGATGTGAAGTGAAGCTTTGTAAAAGATTTCAATTAAGTTTTGAATGTTTGTGATTACATTGGGGTGCACATGCTTATGAAATGAGTCCACAAGTTATCTATGTGCAGTTCACAAAGGTTCTAGCATGTGCATTGGATCTGCTTGCTTTTTTTTTGTGCGCAGAGGTGCACCTTTGCTTTTTTGCAACGTAACACTTGCATTCATGTTCAGTGAAAAGCCTCTTGGCTTCCATTTTCTTTGCAATTAGATTGCACTTCTGTCCCATGGCACATAATTGCTTAACCTTCAATGACAATGCATAAGCACACCAGTTCTTGGTGGTTTATTCAGCAGTAAAAGTTGTCTTTGGTTTTCATTAATGTAGGCAAAATAGATAAGGTAAGCAAGGAAATTGAATTTTACCCCAATGACTAGTTTAAATTAGACAACAAATGTGCTGAAAATTGATCTTGGTAGAGTTAATATAACTTTTCAATAAATTTCATACCTGTTTTGATGCAGACGAAAGTTGGTACCAATGCAGCGCAAAATAGAACGTCGTGAGCGGAGAAGAGAAGAAAAGGCACTGGTAGCTGCCCGTCTAGACACAGCTATTGAAAAGGAGCTGTTGGACCGGTTACGGCAGGGCACAGTAAGTATCTTGCGGAAGTACAGACACCCAACCTCTGTGCATATTGTTCAGTGTTGCGCATTCTTGATGCACAATGGCGGAGGCACTCCTACAGTGCTTGTGCCTGTCTCGTGACACTCTCGGCTGTTTAAGATGTATATGCAACTTGCATATTGTGCGTTGCAGAAGCTGCTAGTGGAAAACTTGTTATCATAACATCTGTTTCTGTGTTGCTTCTTTTTTCATTTAGTACAAGGACATATACAATTTCCCTCAGAAGGCCTTTGACAATGCCCTTAAGAGTGAGGAAGTTGAAAGTGAAGTTGAGTCTGATGAAGAAGAAGAGGACGAAGACGATCAGGATGTGGTTAGTATACTGGAGGCTCTGATCACATTGTCTTGTGTTGATGTTTTCATGTTGTATCAGTTGTGCAGTGTTGTTAAATTTTAAAGAAGCCAAAGTCATTCTATACTATGGATAAAAGAGTATGCAGTCACAATTACTTCAGTCACAATTTTTAATTGTCACATCAATTATTGCCCTATAATGTAACTAGCAATAATTAAAATGTTATGTGTCACATTTTACTTTCCTCTCATATTTTGTAAACATTGCATAAATTCAGTGAGTGAGCTGGCCTGACTCTTTCAGTGTGCCCTCTGTGTTGCGTCGCGTAGGGTTTGTCGTATGTAACACTTGGTTTTCAAAAGCCTGTATTGGGTAGGCTTCTTGGTTTTCATATGAATGCAACAGGAGTGGGTGAAAACAGTCTTGTTGCATATGCTGAAGGTAATAATGGTAATAAGATAACACAGTGCTTGAGTGTGTTTTATGAAGGCCAGGACTTCAAGGTTGCTGGCGTTGTTAGGGAAGAACACTACATAGTACGAGTGAAATACTGAAAAAAAATTTGCCCGTATCTGCATGTAATCTGCAAATGTCGTCGAAAGACGATAGTCTTGCGTGTGGAGAGAGTGAACAAAACATTTATTTGATGTACTGCGCAAGAAAATCGGTGAATGGTATTCTGGAGGCGCTGCATTGAGTGCCTCGAGCGTGCAGCGGAGGCGAACGAACGCATCAAGTCACGTCACACGTAAAACATGAGTGCCATCTGGCAGTTTTTTTGGAAAACGCAGCGCGTGGCTTTGAGACGGGTGTGCGTGCCTGTCTCAGAGGTGATAAGGTGTAGAACGCAAGGTGACGAGTAGGTGCCACCACCGTCTCGTGTTGCAAAGCGTTGCAAACACTTGCCTTTTCGTGCAAGCGTTGCATGGTCAGTGCAGCGTGATAAGCACCACGGTCCTTAAAATTACTTATGTATGCCTTTTCTAGTAAAAGACGCACATGCAGAATATATATACGTGTTGTTATGGTGCCCCAGACATCCACAATGATTCTTTTTTTAACTGACAATTATAACAGTATGAACGCCGATCCTTGAGCAACATTGGTGGGCGCTGCGGATGGGGTCGGCCGTTTCAAGTACCCGATGCAGTTAAGAGTGGACAAACAGACAAATGTACAGACAGACCAAAATTTTTGCGTCGAAGGTCCCTAAGAAAGACTATAGTCTTTAATTGTCGACAGGTGATTTACTGGTTCATATCAGTTCGTGAGTGCAGCAGTGATATCAAACACAGAACCATAATTTTAAATTTTAGGCCATCTTGTGGGACCTCTTGTGATAAGGCAGTAAGGTATTGCGTAAAACAGTGTCCAGGTAATTCAGAATCGGGGAGAACCTGTATCTGGCCTGAAGATATTTCTGAGGGTGGCTGATATTTTTGAGGGTGGCACTTGTTGAGTTTTGATCAGTAACCTTTTACCGTATTTATTCGTGTAATGACTGCACTTTCTTTCTAAAAAGAAATCGAAGCAAAGTTGTGGGGGCGTTTATTATGCGAGGCAAATTTTATGAAAACTTTTTAGAGATGAGCAAAAATGCCGTAATGCAAAAAAAAAAATTTTTTTAAGTTAGGTCGCTCAGTAGTTTTTCACTATTAGAGAGTTTCAGTTTAGCGCACGCAAGGCAGTATGTGCGCAATGGATAGTGCGTTACGTACGCGACAACGGACACATGGACTAGGCCTAAACATCAACACTTTTGTCTTGGAGTGCTACTTGGCGCTGCCTAGTGACTAAGCAATAAACTACAATAGCCAAATATAGTTGACATGAGTCAAGACACGAGACAAGCCAAGATTTCACGAGCAGCTCCGTCCGACTGCAGACATTCCGAGCGTTGAAAAGCATCCCCGTCAGCTCTTCTATTTTCACAGCGATAACTGTCTATTGCACGGGGTCCACGAACTGAAATAAAATTCTTACGCAAGCAAGGAGCTCCAAATCGAGGGCAATCGTAAAATGCACACGGGATTTACCCGCAGCCATGACCACACTGCTGCTTGTGCTGCTGTTGGTCGCGGCCATCTTGGTTTTCGTGCTCTCACTAGGGGGAGATCTCGCGAGAGCCACTACTAAGGTACCTAACGGCTGCAGCGTGTGCAACATAAGAGCCGAGATCTAGTGTACGCATCCCTCGCTTACGCAAACGCACGCATCTCTCTTACGTACAGCGCATGCACACCTGTGCTTTGTCTCGGGCGATGCGTGCGCTAGGCCGTTGGGCGCGCTAAACTAAAACTCTTAATTGATGTATGCGTACACTGTTTGGAAACATCTCCTTTTTTGCACTTCATTCATCTTCAATGGTTGAAGGTGCTATCTTTTGCCAGCTGTTCCTGTGCCACCCGCGCACTTCATAAAAGCGTTTAGCAGCTTTCTTTTCAATCGTTCAACCGCAACGATGGTATCTGCTGTGATCTCAAGGGGCCCCCAGAAGCGCGCGCTATGACACACTTTGCCGACTTCAAATCAACCTCGCACATCGACCGTGACGCCGCCATTAACATTGTTTCAAGTAGTCAACATTGCAGTAAGCTACCACCGAAGTGTCAAAACAAACCGTTCATTATGCGAGTGCGTTCATTGCGCAAGTAAATACGGTATGTACTATAAAATAGCCTAGTATTGGAGAATGGTGTTGAAGGCGACCAGCATGAGCTACGTCTTCTGCATATTCGTGGTATATGTTCTACAGTGTAGATAGAGATGAAAGACAAGATGACTAAGTGACACACATGCCAACACGAAAGTAGTTGGAAATGGGCACCCATGTCTTGTCCTTTGTCTGTTATGTTAAAAAAGGCCCACAACAGGCAGCATTACAAATTTTGGTTATACATGTGATGATGGTTGCAATACTTGCAGTTGAACCTTGTTACAATGAACACTGATATGGCTAATTAATTAAATATTGCAAATTAAATGTAAACATTGGTTGATTTTGTTAGGCTACCTTTTTCAGTTGTAATTTAACCTTCTCAGGTGCTGAACTCTTTAGTTCGAAATACCATTTGGAGGCAGGTAGGGAGACAAGTGGGCATTACCTCATTAATAGTGGATACGAGGCTGAGTAAAGCGTGGTGTATCTAGGATTTCTGTGCAAGCCAAATTGCTGATTAGTTAAAGTCTATATTTATCTGTTGTTATAATGAACTAATTTGTGGCCCCTATACTACTTCGTTACAATGAGATTTGGTTGTGTTGCTATGTAGTCGCCTAGGTTTCTATAATCAAGTGTTCATCAGTTGTGCTTTAGCATCCTGGCTCTGATTTTTTCTGTCTTCATTATTTCAAACAGGATTCTAGTTCTCTAGTGTCCTCTTACTTATGCACTCTGGTTAGATCAATCTCCTACCTTTTTTTTTTTTTCCATCAACACCATGCAGATCTTTTGCCTATTTAAACTACTGATAAATAATTGTGCTGTCAGCTTTTATTCCTAGAAGCTCTGGGAGGTGGATGCCTGCTAAGTGAATATTCTGTGAGGCAGGCTATATAATTCGGGAGTATGACATAACATACACAGCCATAACTACTAAGTGGCTGGAGATGGGTATGTTCCATGGGCACCCTACCATTGCACAGTAATTCATCCAAACTGACATGTGGCGGTACCATCGAATGTGCTGAGCTTTTTGAACTGTGGTCAATTGGGTTACATTTGACCAACATCGGGGTTGGCTTTCTGCAGTGCTCAACGCAGCAGCTTTCTTGGTTAGCCACATTGTCATTGCCAATGACAGCAGTCGGCAAAGGGAACATTTCAGAGCACCTGCCTGAAAACACTGTAGTGCCACCTCAGAAGGGAATAGCAGATATTGGGTTGAGTGTCTACATATACAGGACAGATTTTTATGTAGTGTGGCATAAAACACTTGCATATTAAAATAGAGCCTTTTGGTTGAGTTTTTCTTTTTGCTCGGTGTTGTGCAAGGATTTTAAATTTTTACTGGTGGGGGGGGGGGGGGGGGGCTATTGTGATCTTTGGACAATGCATAACAGGAGTGGTATGTCTGCATGTGTTGCGTCTACCCTACTTTTGGTGCTTAGAGTCCATGGTTATAGTTCCCTGTAAATTCAAAACATACTTATATTTAAAAGTTGTGAACTTTGAACTTGTTGAAAAGAGTGCATTGTTGTACACAAAACTCCCGTAATATGTAACCTGAAGGGACCAGGAAAATATGTTCTGTTTTACAGGAGTTCACATGATTGAGCGATAACCATGGGTGCAGAAGTTGAGTACTAAACGAATCGTATGAGGAACAGCGGTTCGATTAAAACCGGAATGCCGTTCAACAAGAGCTTTAGAAAATAGCCCGCTGATTTTCTACAGTTATTTCCCTTATTTGGCAAAATATATTGAAATGTTCTTTTGAGCTACATGAAAGTTATAAGAGATTCCCTCTAACTTAATGCACGTTTATTTTATGTGAAAAACGAAAGAGAGACTTTCCTTACCCTTGAAAAGAACTTGAAAACATGCTTTCAGTTTCGACATTAGGAGCTGGTAAATTAGGTGACCAGAAGTTTTTTAGGGTACAACGCTTGCAACCTTGAAACCGTCTATTGTGATAACTTTTTGAAATCATCTGCATACAAATTATTTTTGCTTTGTTTGATTAGTGCTGAGAAGTCATGCTTTCTTTATCTTCAGGGAGCAGTTGAATATGTTGCTGCTGATGATATGGAAGAAAGTGATGTCTCCGATTTGGAGGACCTTGGAGAGGAGTGCACTTCTGAAGAAGAAGCAGCAGCAGACAAAGAGAGTGTGGTGGCAATACAATCTAGAAGAAAGCGACCACATGTAGAAATAGAATATGAAAAAGAAACAGAACCTTCAACCTCGAAAATAAATTCACATGATTTTTAAGCATTTGGCTAGCAGTGTGGCTATATTTGTCATTTTTGCTATAGTTGTCTACATTTAAAGGGGCACTAAAGAGAAAGACTTAGTTTAGATTGACCAACTGCACTCTGAGAACTCCAATGCCATAAGTTTCACTAGCATAAGTTCATTAGCAGAGAAAATGGAGGTTGAAGTTCCATTTTTAAATTTCGTGCTAAAATCTCCACATCTGGTGTTAAAAATTTTTAATGTATTTTTCGTATCTTCTCGTCATTGGCTCGATGAAATTTTTTGAAACTTGGTATGCTAGGGTCTATGGCACCCGCAGATGATGATGTCCTTCAATTTTGTCGATCAGAAGCTATGTAGGACACGGTAGATACCTTCAAAATTTTATTTCACGATGTTTGGTGTGGGTATCTTGAGGTATAGCATCTCCACCTGCATTTTCTTTTCACACATTTTCTCGCTTGCCAAGCGTTGTGTCGCGGTAAGAGTGGTGTTTTCTGGATTATGAAACTGTACTTTACTATCATGCAAAAAACCGTTTAACCCTTTATTGTCTCTTTAAAACAATTGTGTTGTATTGTCTGAATAAGTAGCTTTCTATGCTGTGTAAAAGCTACTTGACCCCATATTTCTTGTCTATGCGTCTCATAATCATATAGTGGTTTTGGGACGTTAAACCCCACATATCTATCAATCAACCATATTTCTTGTCTATGTATTGCTGTGACATGATATGTACTCTACAGACCCAACCATGTGCTTTGTACTATACAAAACAGTACTACTCATTGACTCACTGCTATGGAACTGGGATGCACATAGGTTTTGCTGTAAGTGGAAACTACCGTGAGGCGTCAAACTCGATGCTAATTAATGCTATAGCTAGCATGTTCACTGCCGAGCTTCCTGTAATGCTTTATGAAGCAGAGAGTCTAAAAATAGGGCATTCCTGTAGTTTTCATTTGCTGATTTCGTGAAGGACTATAAAAAATGCATGTGGCAGCAAAACATCTTGATCGGAATGTGCTCAATCTCGACAGGCAGAACTGTGAAGCAGTTCTATTGGATGCTGTGTCATTCAGAGCAACGAAAGACTGGACTGTCAAGTGCAGTGAAAAGTCGTTCATTAGTACATATCAATCCTCAAGACTCTGCGTATAAATTTTTGCATCAAAAGCTGGAAGAAGATCTCAACAAAAGACTTTTCTGGCACGGTAGTTGTCCGCCACCACCGCCAGTGTCCGTAACTGCTGTCACTCGAAATAAGAAAAAAAAAACTAAATACTGGGGATTGAACCTGGGTCCATGACTTGCCAACTCAGTATTATACAACAGCCTGTGCTTGAAACTCCATTGCAAAAAAACCCTATACAGTCGTCTTAACATGTGTGATATAGGGTGGTATAAGTGTAAAATAACAACCAGGCTTCGCACAATTGAAATTCTGTAACTAGGTTTCAAAGCATAGGAATTACATAACGAGTGGGTTGTTGAACACTTCCAACTCATCACAAAGGGCTCGGTCAAAATTCTTTTGTCATCAGCCACTGCATCAACAAAGTACACTTAATTTCTTGCAACTGCTTCCACAGAATGATGAATAATGGCGTAGTGGGTGCTTCAACAGTTCAGAGAAATTATAATTTATGGCATAGTGGGCACCTTGCAAATGCCACTCTTTCACGCAGTGACTGTACTGAACAGGCAGACCCTAGTTGACACACACACAACAAAATCAAGTGGTGTACACATTTGTGTATATAGTGCCTCAAGCGGTGAAGTGACTTTCGTCTTTTGTGTCAGAAGGAACACTGAAAACTCGGACAGACCATCGCTGCTTTACCAGTATTCAAACCTTCGCAATTTCCTGCTGACCGAAGATCGTTTACTTTCAGCTTTTTTTTTTTTTTTTTAATCGAGCCAGTGGACGAGGACCGCTGGCGAGTGACAGCACACAGTCTCTTTTATTCGCTAAAATCTCGGAAGCCATGCTTTTAAGTTTTTGTTGAATCTCGTGTGGTAGCGCTAAAAATAAATGCGTTCTAGGGAGCCTTCATGTGCGCCCGTCTCCGGACATGAAGGTTCCCTAATGAGCTCGCTGTCATGTTTTTTTTTTTTTACTTCATACTTCGTGGGATTTTTTGTAGCATTATGTAGCAACTGAAGCTAGATTAAAAAAAAATAAAAGTCAACCAAAACACCTTTGCAAATGAAAATTAAAAAAAAATGTTGTTCTCAAGTGGGATTCGAACCTGGGTCTTTTGAGTAGGAAGCGAGCATACTAACCCTCGACCACATGGAGAAACTGCGCGCAATTTTTATAACGATGACACATTACACACTATCGATTGCAGCGTCACAAGCGGATTGACTCTCTTTGGGCTTCACTTTTCGGAGCTCGGTCCGGGCACTCCCCTTGTTCTAGTACACCGGTACGTTGAAACAGATCGGTGCTCGCGGAATCACTAGCATGATTTACCCAGGCAATAAGGAATTAGGAACTTGTTGCAAAAGAACTCGCAGCTACACATCGATCCATATCATTCGGAGTGAATGGCGCGTATCACAATCATGGTTTACCCAGGCAATAAAGAATTAAGCACTTGCTGCAAAAGAACTCGCAGCTACACATCGCTCCATTTCATTCGGAGTGAATGGCGCGACGTTCGCGATCTTAAGGCCACAGGACAGGAGCAACACCGCAACATCGATCGACACGTGGACGAATTTGATTTATCATTATTTGCAATGGTGTAGTTTGATGCACCGCCGCTGCGGGGTGCTCGCTCTGTGTTTACCATCTTGGTGGGTCAGCGACGCGAGGTGTGCGTGTGAACATGTAGCGTTTGCTGGAATATTGTGGCCGGTGGTCAACAGAGACGTGATACGGCAGTTCAAAGTTCTGCGTACTTGCCGTTCGAGTACCTGGTACTCCATGACTTCTGCCCTGGCGAGCTGAATCTGGTGCGTACAGAACGGAGGAATGAAACGGCAGTATGTATTGTTCCTTTTTGAAAGCGTGACAGTGCTTTAACACTGCACAGGCAGGTGCGTTAAGAAGTGCTCACGCGCTTTATCGTCTGTTGAATATAACAGCTGACACTTCGTTGATCACAGATGACATATTCGATCGTGAGTTCGCATATACTACTGCGCTGAAGAACGACAGCTTACGAAATGCGTGTCGCATGTAACTTGCGTGATAGGTGATTAGTCATTTTTAATGATGTGCTTGTTTTACTTTTTTTTTTCGAAATAACTGGGGCTCTAAGCAGTATTATCCACGATGTGTAGATCCCACATGGACTCGTGGGGCCACTCGCGATGGTGCACAGTAAGTTAACATATTGTGCGTGCTTCGGTATTCGCAGGTTTCGGGATGAGGCCTTCTAGAGCCCAAGTGGAAGCAGCCGTTGGCATAATCATGCGTGTGCCGGGCTTGTTTATTATTGACTACTGGTGGCAGCATGACCGAAATAAGTCGGTGCCGCAGTCCATGGCACTTCCTGGAGTGCTGAACGCAGTGCTGACAAACCTAGGTAATTACTTGAACTTGGTTTCCTGATAGCGACGCTAACTTACCCGAGTATTTTAAAATTTCGTTTCAGTTCTTGTCCACGGGTTCCTCTTGCTGTTGCTGCCCATTCCACGGGTGCGCTCTCTCTACACCAACTTTGTGAGCGCGCTGCTGCTGCTCAGCTCTCACCTCCTGTCAAAGTACTACATCCAGATGGAGACAAGTCTGTCGCGACATTTGGATGTTGATGAAAGTTTTGCCAGAAGGCAAGTGACTGCCTTTCTGGCCCACATTGTGCTGGCCTGCATGGTATTCGCTCTCCTGGAAAGCCGTTCACGGCCCATGCTTCCCATCTTGTCCTGTTACACACTTCCTGTAATGGCTCGTGTCCTGGACTTTCCGCCAGAGTCGCTTGAAGTCCTCCATAATTTTGGCAATGCACTGATGTGTGTCAGTGTGGCATGTTATCTGTATAGTCAGGTACCATCATTGATCAGCTTCTTAAAAGACACTTACCTGGACACACTGCTTCTGACCATGCGCTTCGGTTGGATTGGTCTGATGACACTGTTTTGGAACAAGCTGTTTGTGCCAACCCATTTTCTTGTCTTTTGGCTGATTGAGTTCTGTGTAAAGTTGGCTGAAAGTTATTCCACTTGGGAGAGCCCATGGTATCTGCTAGCTCTAAGCTCAGCTAGCAATGTCTGTTCCAGTCCTGTGACTTTGGTCGCCTCCTCAGTGACAGTCTCTTATTTGGCATATCTCACACTCTCAGGAACCAAGGCATTCCTGCATGGGAGCTTCACTTTCATGAATGACAATCCAATGCACAGTGGCTGGACAGAGGGTATCACCATGCTCTTGCTGGCCCTACAGACTGGCTTAACGGAAATCAAGATGCCCAGTCGAGTGGCTGTACTGCTCATAATTTTGTTCATTGTCATGTCATCTATGCTGCAGTCAGTGCTGGAGATTACAGAGCCAGTGGTGTTGGCTCTGAGCGCGTCACAAAGTCGGCAAGTTGGACGACATCTTCGAAGCTTGGGCATGTGCGCCTTTCTTGTTGCTTTCCCATTACATATTACTTGGCGACTGTCTACTCTCTTTCCCATCGATTTTTGGATGATGATTGTGCTTTCCTCTTGCATCCTCACCTCTTTACAGGTAGTGGGTCTACTAGTCATCTATGGTCTGTTTGTGTATGATGCATGGCAGACAGAACCGTGGGAGGCATTGGATGATGTCATTTATATGGCTCGAGCAGTGACGAAAATTTTAGAGTTCTTGGTAGCCCTATTTGTTGTAGGAATGGGCTTCTGGGAGTCCACAACAGGCAAGTGGAATTGGGCTAATGCATCCATCCTGCTTGTCCACTGCTACTTCAATGTATGGCAGCGCATGCAGGCTGGCTGGAAGAGCTTCCTTCTGCGTCGTGAGGCTGTACGAAAGATAGAGTCCCTTCCTGAGGCAACACCAGAGCAGCTTTTGCTGCACAACGATGTCTGCTCCATCTGCTACTCTGAGATGCGATCAGCTTGCATAACAAGGTGCCAGCATTTCTTCCATCGAACATGTCTTCGCAAGTGGCTGTACATTCGAGACAAGTGCCCCCTGTGCCATGCTCACGTCTCTCTGGAAAACGGAGAGCCTGTGCTACCAAGTAATCCTGAACCACCTGCAGTGCCAGATGAGACCAATCATGCACATGCCTCCTGAAGCAAACATGCTGACAATTTCACTTGTGCCGTCCGCAGATCAACGTTCCATTTTGTTCCCACTTTTGCCCCTTGTAATGTACAGGTGGTGTTTTTAGGAGGTGCTTTTGGGAACCCCTTTGTAACAGTGAGGAAATGTGATGCCCCTGTACGGCCCCACAGCTTGCACCACTTCCGGGAACACGAACTCTTCCAGTGTTACTTTAACTCCTGTAAATACTGTTTACTTGCTCTTTGACTTGTACAGCCATACTGTTCTGAAAGAATTAAAAAATGTAATCTAAGTTCTCCTATTTGTGCCGTCATTCTTATACCATTTGTGCCAATTGTGGGTATGTCAAGCCATTGCACAATGATAAAGTGCTTCTTAAACCCACAAAGATGTTTTTATTAACCTAGCTTCATCATTAGACGTGATGTTTTTTTCTTGTGTGTGTGTCTTAAATATGAATCTTTCGTGTCACGTATTCGTTGGTGCCACTTGTGCTGTTTAGTGCAGAACAGCAGAATAGAGGTTTGGTACGATATAGATATTTTTATCATAAGTGACGATGGGTGTGTACAGGTGGTAGCATAGCCAAGAAAAAAAATTCCTTTAGGTGGGAGATAGGGTTAACCATACATAATGTATGGTTAATCCCCCCTCCCCCAGTGAGTAATTGTGGTGCCCGTGTACAATCCTAGTGCCCTCAACGGCTCATACCACTTCTGAGAACACAACTCTTCCAGTGTTTGTTTAAATCCTGTAAATACTGTTTACTTGCTCTTTGATGTGTATAGCGTTACCGGTTAGTGAGTTTGAATGAATTCGTGCATATATACACATGCAAAATTAAATGGCAGAAAGTTAAAGGGGGAAGCATTAAGCCCCCCCCCCCCCCCCCTGGCTATGCCAGTGACAGGTGTGGACGCATTTTATAGTTGAACCTTGAAATAATAAATAAAGTGAGTTGTCCTTGTTTTACACAAGAAAAAGGGGGAAAGGACAACCGACTAAAATCTACAATACTGTAGCTTAAGAGGATTGATTTGATTGATATGTGGGGTTTAACATCCCAAAACCACCATATGATTATGAGGGACGCTGTAGTGGAGGGCTCCGGAAATTTTGACCACCTGGGGTTTTTTAACGTGCACCCAAATCTGAGCACACGGGCCTACAGCATTGCCGCCTGCATCGGAAATGCAGCCGCCGCAGCCGGGATTCGATCCCGCGACCTGCGGGTCGCGGGATCGAATCCGAGTACTGGTGCATCCGAGTATCCGAATCCGGTGCATCCGAGTACCTTAGCCACTAGACCACCGAAGCGGGGCGACTTAAGGGGAGAGGAGTAAAAAAAACGGAAGCTTTTTTTCCAAAGTTGTATATATATTTTTTATTTGCTTTCACAAATTTCGTTTTTTTCACTATAAAAAAATGAATATTGTAATTAAGCTAGAAGTAGGTTAAAATGACTTTTAAAGAGCACAAGGTGGCTTCTAAGAACTAAAAAAAGCTTCTTGTTTTGAGTCCCCTGAAAATTGTCACCTGGCTGCTTGCCATTGCATTTTGCATAAGGAGTTCACTAAAGCCACACGCTCAAAATAACAATGATTGCCAAGCTCTCATGATAGAAAAATTATTTTAAAAACATATCTTTGCCACATACGCGAGCTTTTACTTATACCTTTCAAATGCGTTTTTTTTTTTTTTTCAAGATCCACGTTTGGGTTACATCTTGAATTTAGACATGTTTTTATTACTTCTGATAGCAGATCAAGATGAAATATTGCCCAAGTATTCCTAAAAATGTGAAGAGTGCAAGTATCTCTTTCAAAACTTTATATTGCCTGCATGATTTTCGCGAACCTAAAGCAAGCAATTATTATGGGCTGAGGATTCTAATCATCCTTGCAGTACAATTTTTATTGTCCATTAAATGTCTTATATGCACTTTCTTGATAGTTATTTGCATTCTATAGTTAATGTAGAGCAATATTAGCCATTAATGGCTCAAAACCATAAACATTTAGTGGCATAAAAAGTTAGCCCAACAACTATACACATTGTCCTGGCACAAACCTTGAGTGTGCCTGAGGGCAATCAAAATGCATTCATACGACATACATCACATGCAAACCAAAACGCAGTCAACAAGTAAAATTGATAACGCAACAGATAAAGTCGTAAGGTCAAGAGAACAAAGTAAGCCATATAGCCATGTATTATAGACAAAGTTTATGGACCTTTCTTCTTTATAGCCATAAGAGCTACAGTTATTATTTTACTATCATTGTGATCATGAGCCATTTCTCTTCTCATGAAGCAGATTTAGTCCTGAAAATTGTAATGCTCATTTTTTGTGAACTATTTTACTTCAGGTACTTAATTATTACTCGAAAGTAGCTATTAAATTTCGTGTTTCAGAAGCGCACTTCCTTGCACAACAATAATTCTGCTCAAGCATATTCCCTATTTCGTTATCTAAATACTGGCCGAAATTCTAGATGCTGCGGTTGCTGAGAAAAAGGGATATAAGTACATAAAAAGCATGTTCGCATTTAAAGTTGAAAATCTGTATTACTTCAAAAGTACAATGAGATAGCAGCAAATTGACAAATTTTTTCAATAGGCACCAGCCAGATACTCATCATCAGTATCATTTTTTTTATGTTGTAACGTCTTGCTTGGTGAGCCTCATTTGTAGCCTGCTATGCAGTCATGTTGGCACAGTATTGTCGAAGCAGTTCAAGCGTGTGTAGACCCAGCAGTGCCCTGGTGAAATTTCATAATAGTTCAGTGCATTCACATGGGCTGTACTGCCATCATTAAAAGTGAACACAGCATCAAGAGTGTATATTTACAGTGTTTGGTGCCCCCAAAAAATGTTTTTTTGGAGGGCTCGCTATGGTTTTGAGTTTTCCCATGGAGGCACTTAGCGAGTAATTTTGCATGAACTAGTTTCAGATAACTTGGCTTAACAGTCTCAATATCAGATGCTGGAAGTTGTTCTTTATAAATGAATGATTTACCATTCAACTGGGCTTTGTTGAATTTACACAAAGTTTCGGCGTCCTTCGAACAAAGGCTGTGGGATTGATTGGTATCCTTTGATGTCATGTAAAAATATTAATCGGACAGCTTTTCACATGTCCTCCAAGCTGGCTCTATTTATTTCAATGACCCAATCATAATAGTTTTGGTGCGTGCCAGAGATGCACCACTAAGATGCCCCCGGCCAGATATAGATTTTTTTACAGAAAGCTTGATGTCTCTGCCTTCTTTCGTTTTCGCAGCATGTGCCAAATGCACTCCAGCTTGCAAACTGTAACTTCTTCATATGGGTATGATGCTTGAACTGCAAGGAATCCCTTGCTTGAAGAGTGGGGGCATGGCAGGCTGCCGCTCGAGCTTTGAATTATGTCATTTCTAGAGAAAAAAAAATTGTACTGAGACAAACGACTAATTCTGGTTCAGAAAAGGATGCAGATTTCAAATAACACAAAAAGGAAAAAAATGTTTTTTTTTCAATATTTTTACTCGCCCTGTCCCCTTAAATAAAAAAAAAAGCTAGTACCATGCAAGTTGCAATAAAAATAAAATATTCAACTGGTATAACACCGTACAAAATATTTTTGTTCTTTAGGTGTTGGGACGAGTATGTGGCTATCATCAGTTGCCAGAAGCATAGCCAGGGAGTGGCGCACCGAGCACGTGCCCCCCACCCCGAAATGTTTTTTTTTTGCCATGGCTTAAAGAGCGAAAAATGGCCATTTTAAGGGGGTGCCCCGCCTGAAATTTGATCACAATCTTTTATTTACCACTGCTTGGGTTAAAATTTATATATTTATTTACACCAGGCTTCATTCTTTTTTCGGATATAGTGTTTAGTATTGATTTATTTACCAAGGCGAAAGCCTTGAATGCCTCATAAGTCGGGAAATTTGACCAGCGGTGGCGAACGTACTGTGGCATTGTGGATGAACGACACAAAAAATCATCTGCGATGACGTCATACATATGATGTCTCCATGATGTCACAGATCACAAGAACTTGCAACTTGATCATGGCAGCACAAATTCTGGTGTGACATCTGACGTAACACAGCATGATGCTGTTGTAGCGCCCTCTTTTGGGCAGCAAATGGAACAGCAGAGTCCACGACCTCAAGAAACGAAAATGAAGATTGCGCTTGGCAGTAGCATGCGACACCACAGCTCATGTTCCCTGCTCCCTTACACACAAACTGAGAAGAGAAAGATAGCTTTCACCTTCCGCAATACACAAGGGACCCTGCGATTTTTTTTTTTTTCTTTTTTCATGCATTTCCTTTTTAAACTACTCTAAAGCCAATCCTCCTGGTAGGCCTGTTAGTTTTATAAGGCTACAAGATGAGCTACAAGAAGCGATGAGTGGTGTTGTGTAAAGAAATTCCCTCAAGCTCATTAGAAGCCATTCTCAAAATGGTTGCGTGAGGATATGCTATACGCCAGCTCTCTCAGTACTGGAGCTATTAAAGGCTGGTGAAGCATTTTTCACTGAACAAACCATTTTGCTCGGGCTGGGCTATAGTACAGTAATAAAATATTGCCGTTAAGAGAATGGCTTTGGCTAGTAGGATGAAACATGAGTTTTGAAAGCATCGGAACTAAGTCCCTTCAGTGAAATATGTACGATTCCAACATCAGTCAATAACTTTGAGGCATATCGGAGGGCCTCGCTCTCTGTGATGCAATCATACAAATAAAAAAAACCTCCAACAAAGTGTGGTGTCTGCACTGCCGTGTCAGAAGATGGAAAAGGAGGAAATTTTCAAAAGGAATAAGGGTGTGATGCAAATGGTGCTACTCAGCCTAGTGTGGATGTCTTTTCTTTGCACTACACCAGACAACAGTTAGATGTAGCTGGTTGCAGGAAAGAGTGTGTCTGCAAGCAGCACAACCCTATTGTTCCAGAAAAAAAACTCTGGACTATTAGTATCAAGTCAGATTTTCAAGTTCTAAAAAGCAAAACCCCTACTAGGCTGTGGCTGTATTACCTTAGTCATGAGAAGACTTCGCAAGTGAGAAAATGTGCGTGGTTACGCTACCTTGAAGTTTCTGCACCAACTCCCTGCGATGTCACAGATTTTGATGGACCTCTATTATTATAAACATAAATTAGTCACTGTGTTCTGAGGGAGCCATAGACTTATCATAGTTAACCCAAACAACCACACGGCATGTTTCATCCTATTGAATTATTCGCATCATTCCAGTCTCAGCTACATGAAGAGCACCATAAACTTGCCTGAGCTTTTGCTGCATCGAAAA